CCCCAAAACCCCAAAACCCCAAAACCCCACATCTCCAGATAATAATTGAAAAATTATAATGGAAGACTACGAATTCATTACTAAAATAGGTAGCGGCTCCTTCGGCTCAGTCTACAAAATCTATGATCACAGCAAGAAGAAATATAGAGCTGTTAAAAAGTTTTAAACAGACATATTCCACAGTCAAGGAATGCCAGAAAGAGATCGAGGTTGAGGTCCTGCCTAAACTCAAACATCCAAATATAGGTAATTTAGGGTTACACTTGTTTCAAGGGTAGAATTGGTATCCTCACTTGTTTAACTTCTTTCCATGCTGACTGGATTTAGTCAGCCTCGCCAAGATTATATACCAGAACGACATGCTCTATCTTGTCATGGAGCTTGCCAAGACAGACCTGGCCAGATACTTCACCCAACTCAGAAATGATGGAAGGAAATTTACTGAAGAACAAATTAAGAAAATGATGCGGCAGATAATTAACGGAGTTGCTGTAAGTCAATCCCTTGATGAATCTATTAGTTTATGCACCAAAAAGGGTACATGCACAGGGATCTCAAGCCAGAAAATATTTTACTTGCTGATAATAATACTCTTAAAATTGCAGATCTGGGAACAGCCAAAAAGTGAAGTGACAAGTTTCCATTCACAAATTATGTATCTACTAGGTGGTATAGAGCTCCAGAATGAGTAATTAACACTACTAATTACTCGCCATCAGTCGATGTATTCGCTTTAGGCTGCATTATGGCTGAAATGTACACCTTAAAGCCAGTATTTTGAGGAAAATCATCTCTTGATCAACTCAAATAAGTACTGCAAAATTCTTGGTACAACCAAGTTCGAAAACTGGGTAGAGGGTGCTGCTAGAGCTAAATAAAATTGGGTTCAACTTCGAAGAATATCACCCAGAATGCCTAAGTGATGCTGCACCAGCAGCATCACCTGTTGCATTAGATTTACTAAAGTCTTTGCTGCAGTTCGACCCTCTCAAAAGAATAAATATGGAAGACATCCTTAATCATGAGTTTTTCATGTCTAAAAAGCCAAAAGAACTAGCTGAACGTAAAATACCTCTGAAAAATATATTTAAAAGAAATGAAATTGTAACCTAAATGCAAGTTGAAATATAGAAACCACTCGAGAATGGCCAAACATCACAAGATTTGCCCCCACTTGATGTGCCTAAACTGACCCTAAATTCTAACCTAAAATATAACAGAGAGAGCATGAAGAACTTTATTAGGAACAAACTTGCTGGGAAATAGAAGCCTCAATTCCCTTGCAATGGTGGATGAAACCGACAATGAAAATTCACGTAATGAAGAAACTATGAACAAAGAGTATCCTGGCTTTAGGCTTAAGAAAGACTCTGCCAAAAAGCCACTGAAGCAGAAGAACTCCCAACTAAGCAAGTTCAAATCAGGTATGGCCCTTTTCTGACCCATAGGTGCTAAAATACAACAACTAGCTAGCCTCCAGAACAGGATTCTAAGTTCGAATAATTTCGGGAGGATGAGCCAACCTGAACTTGGAAGGTCAGAATCGAGCAACAAGGGGTTCAAACTTAGACGCTCTGATAACTCAGCTTTAAACTTATTCTCAAATAGCTCTTTAGTATTGAATTCTAGTGTGACTCCATAGGCTATAAACCGTAAGAACAAGACATATCCCATAAAGAACAGAATGCAAAGCTCTGAAAATAAGACTAATAATTATGAGCAATCAGTCATGGAGGAAATAGAAATATTACAAAAGAATCTTGAAAAGGCTCAAAGGAAGCAAGAAACCCTTCAAGTGAGGAGACTTAATTTCGGAAATCACCCTGAAGAGGGAGAGACTTATAGAGATCTTTATTCACGGGATAATAGTCCTCAGAGAAGTCTTTCGCCTACAGAGGAATATTGGACCAATTTTAATCAAATAAATTCATCATTAAAGTCAAGGGAAATTCTCTCATCAAAAAAGGATAGACTTGCGAAGATAGAAATTTCAAGGTCTTCGAACAGACGTAGTGCTGCCAATGAGATCTTATTTGGTAATTCAGGCAAAAATCAAAGTATTGGTGGCTCAAACCAGTCCTCACCAGCAATAATACCCCAATTAAACACTTTATCGAATAAATCTGAAAGTCTCAGACTTAACGGAGGGTTTGCCTCGTACATCAACAGGCAGGAAAAATTGGTACTCTAACATAATAATCCATAGGCTAAGTTGCAGATTGATCATAATGAGTTTCTCAGGAACAAAGAACGGTAAGATCATCTATAAAGATTCCTCTTATAAAGAGATATTACCATAATCCATTTTCAAGAGTAATTCCAATAAAATAGTTTATCTATGGGGTTTTGGGGTTTTGGGGTTTTGGGG